AAACCTAAACCCTAAAACCCTGAACCCTAAAACCTAAACCCTAACCCCTGAACCCTAAAACCTAAACCCTAAAACCTAAACCCTGAGCCCTAAACCCAAAACCCTGAACCCTAAAACCTAAACCCTAAACCCTAAACCCTAAACCCTAAACCCTAAACCCTAAACCCTAAAACCCTGAACCCTAAACCCTAAAACGATGGGACAGACTCAACTCGTGGAGTTCATGGACTCCCGGCCATGAAAAATTGCACGTCCTTCGCTTGGCACGGGGCGTATTACAAAAGAAACCTGCGTCGCCTCGTTTAGGGTTCAGGGTTTAGGGTTTAGGGTTTAGGGTTTTAGGGTTTAGGGTTTAGGGTTTAGGGTTTAGGGTTTAGGGGTTAGGGTTTAGCGGTGAACTACAAGAATTCACCCAGCCTTGAGATTATGAAGAGGCTTTCAACCATGAGGCAAAGTGATGAGCATTGGCAGTGGTAGGCAAGCGATGAGTTTGTAGTGAAAGGCACGGAAGGGCATGGAAAAGTAGCTGACCCTTGACCCTAAACCCTAAACCCTAAACCCTAAGCCCTAAACCCTGAGATTTGTTGACTGCAGCACCTGACGAGGGCAGCAGTCTCATACAATACGGGCATTGGGGCTCGGCATAGCCGGAATGCAGAATCAGAGACAGTTCGAGCTAAACGTTGAAAACGGCAATTCTTCCGCTGTGAGCATGAAAGGACTGTGCACACGACCCTAAACCCTAAACCCTAAACCGTAAATTGTCACGCAAGCAACCTCTTCTCTTCCAGCTGGTTGAATCGGTGGGTCAGCTGGTGCAGCTCCGTGGACGTGGCCTGTTAGGCGACAGACTTGGTCGTACAACAGAGGCCCAAAAACCAACCCTCGCCTCCTTCGTTTTTGTGAAGCTCTGGGCCAAGTTGTCCGTGGCCTCCCGACCAGATCCTGACACCGAAGCACCAACAAGTCTTGGAACTGACCTGGTTTGAGCTCCTCTAACTTGTCATACTCCGGTGGGCAGCGCAAGCTGTCGATGAACATTCGAGAATACAACTTTTAAGAAGGTGGCAACGGTGATGTAGATCCGTCAGTCATAGACACCCTTTCTCAAAAATCCTGAAGGGCGGGGAGTTGACTACAGCATCAGGGCTCTACATTAAAGGGATACTGGAGGTGACGTCGGAGCTTCACCTAAACCCTAAACCCTAAACCCTAAACCCTAAACCCTGGGCATCTTTTCCAAGAATCTAGCCAACTCCTCCGAGACCTACAGAGTTGCCCCTGTTCCTGCAAAGTGAAGGGGTCATCTTGGAGGTAGTTATAAGGCTCCTTTAAGGGAGCTATAAGAGGGTTCTATAAGGGCTCTATAAGGGGTCATATTTGGAGGTTCATGGGTAGTTAGAAGTAGGGTTAGAGGTAGGGTAACTGTAGTTATAACCCTATTAGGGGACTTATAACCCCACTTATAACTGCCCATGAACCTCCAAGTAGGGTTTCGGGCTTCAGGCTTTCAGGATCTAAGGGCTCGGGTTTTACAGTAAGGGCTTGGAGGGTTTAGGATTTAGGGTTTAGGGTTTAGGGGTTTAGGATTAGGGGACATCTTGCGCAAAGGCTCGCGACTTTCTCGGATATCTCGGTGAACATCTTCTCTCTATGAAGTTCTAGAAAGCGCTACAGCACACCTTCCCAACAGAATGAATATAGGGGCCTTAAGAACTAGAACAGGGTTTGGGGCCCATTATACTAGAATTAAAATACCCCCAAATGGTATTGGTAATTCTTTGGGCCCCTGAATTATCATCCTTCGAACATCTAGAGGCCACAAGATCGCAAAAGAAATGCCACTCGGGCATCGCCCTGAACCCTGAACCCGGAAAGTCGGAAAAACCTAATGGAGAGGCCTTAATAATTAGAATAGGGATTTGGGGTATATTATACTACAATTAGAGCAAGGACCCTCCAAGATAGCATAGGTAATTAAGGTCCCCACGTTACAGCCCAGGGCATCCTAAAGCCTACGTCAACTCAGGTCTTTCGCTGAGGCATGGACGTAGCTCCTCCTTCAGCGCTGGCAGTTCATTCAACGCTGCCTTGGCCGCCTTTTCAGGGAAACGCGTGGCTTTGCGCAGTAACTTCAGTAATGTACGGGCCTGAATGAGTAGAATCATGGATAATTGGGTTTTGGGACGGATTGCAGTAGAGTCGTAAAGCCATAAACCGCAAAAGGGATGGTAATACATATCACTAACCATTCAGCTTCTAAAGTATATACTGGTGCGGGTTCTCGCTGCGCTTCAAGCAAGTTGACGGATGCAACAGTCAAGTTGTTCAGCTCACTGGCCCAAAACTCAAGGAAATAAAAGTTGAAACTTTCAGANNGTTGAAAAGTTGAGTTTACAGCCAAGTTGATCAGCAGGGAGGATCCTGCCACAAGGCCCTGGCCTAAGGCTTCGTTGTAGCAGCTCTCCCGCTCCGGTATCTTCAAAGGCTCACAGGGTTTCGGATTTAGGGTTTGGGGTTTAGGGTTTAGGGTTTAGGGTTTTAGGAGCATCGAACCCTATCTTAATCAAGACAATGTTAGACAAGAAAGCAGCCATCAAGAGCCTTGACCGCTGAACTTTAATCTCGCATGGCCACTAGACCGGCAAGCACAAGGGCCTTCAGCTGGACAAGGAAGTCGTCCTGGCCACTCAGACACATCCAGCGAGCACCGAGGTAGTTGGTTTAAAGGTTCAGGGCATAGGGCGTGGGGTTTAGAGGTTTAGGGCTTTAGGTTGAAGGTACATGTCATGCAGAATTTCTGGGTAGGACCGTATGGTATGCTTTAAGTGAACCTTATCATACAAACCTTATAGTACCCCTTAAGGGAATCCTACCTAGAATCCCAATTAAGGAGGCTATCCATTTTCTAGGGTTAGGGATTTAGGGTTGGGAATATGGGGTTTTTCTATGGGGGTATTGGTGTATGGGGTTTAGGGTGGGTTTTTTCTATGTGGGTTTTGGTGTGGGTCTTATGGTGGTTCCATCCTAGGGGTATTCCTATGGGTCTTTTGGTGAGATGAAGGTTGAGGTATAGGTTGTTATGGTTTGGGGTGCTAGGGAGGGTGCATGGTTAGAAAATGGAAATGGTCATTGCTAGCT